GGTGAGAGGTGTTTAGATGTGACACATCTGCTCAGTCAAAATTTTCAGTTAGCACATTAATTACAAGTCCAAAGTACCTCTGCTCTGTCAACCTGCCCTGCTAAGGCAGTGAGGGAAAGTGAGATGCATACACGGGTCACAGGAGATGGGTAGAAGCCTGTGCTCAGCAAACATTATTTGTAATAGCCGAAACCTAGAACCAATTCAGATATATATCACAACAGAACAGATGAATTGTGGTGTGCACAAAGGGTAGAATATTATATACAGTAAGTCTCTTTACATTCTTGACCCTGGAGCTCCATAGAGCCAGGACTGGGTTCAATCCCAGCACTGCCTTATATTAGTTATCTTTGGACCATATACTTAAGCACCGGGGCCTCATTTCTTCTGTATGAAAATTGGGGTTCATCATAGGCCCAGTGCTTAGGTAAAAAAAATTATCTAGATTTACTACATTCTTTGAATTAAGCTGTGCAACAACTCTATTTTCTTTCTGTAAGATAGAATATTTTGTATTTAGTTGTTATATAGTCTAGCACTGCATCTAAAAGTCCACAATGCAAGCCAGACTCACACACTGTATAGTACTTAAGGCTACTTAGGGAAAAGAATCAACTTAAAGGCTTCACAGAGACTGGTGGAAAGAGCAACAGTGAGGGGTGACAGAGTAAGTCTATTTGAGAAACACCATGGACCTACTGTGAGCCAGGACCTGGTCCAAATCAGTATGACAGGGTCCCTACTCTTAGAATCAGGTAAGTAAACTAAGTATTAATGTTTACACATAAGTTTCTTGCAGCCACAGTAGAATCATATCCAGAACCCAGAGTAGCACCAATATAGGAATAATTAATTCTGCTTGGTAAAAGTTGGTGGGGAAGCCATGCATTTGGAAAGTCCTCATGGAAGAAGTGATGCTGAAGTAGAAGTCTGAAAGGTGATCAGTGTTCATCCAGTAAATGAGGACAGCAGCAGTCACCCCTTATCTCAAGGCAGATTTATTGAGCATCCTCTGGGATAGAGAAGTGATGAAGACTGTCAGAAACTTTGCCTTCTTGGAGGATACAAACATTAAATGAATACGTAACGCAACAGGAAGTGATGATTAAGCAAGAGAAATAAAAAGCAGGGACGCTAGAAAACAGGTGAAATGACACAATCTTGAATTTGCTTTAAAATACTGAAAGTGAAAACTTATGTGAATTTTAAATCTTGAAATGAAAAGTGAAAAGGAGATGGATGAGGTAAGAATGGTAAAATCTTTTTTCATTTTTTAATTAAAAAAATTTTTTTAATTATCATCGTCATCATCATCCTCATTGGACATATCTTCAGAAGTGGGATCACTGGGTCAAAAGGCAGTTCCATTTTTAATTTTTTGAGGAAATTCGATACTGTTTTCCACAGTGCCTGCATCAGTCTGCCTTCCCACAAATAGTATGTGAGCATTCCTCTTTTCTCCACATCCTCACCAGCACTTGTTGTTTGTTGATATATGGCCATTCTGGCAGGCATGAGGTGATATCTCATTGTGGTTTTAATTTGCATTTCTCTGATGACTAGTGATATTAAGCACTTTTTCATATGTCTGTTGTCATTTATAGGCCCTCTTTGGAGAAGTATCTATTCAGGTCCTTTGCCCATTTTTTAATTGGGTTGTTTGTGATTTTGGTGTTAAGTACTATGAGTTCTTTATAAATTTTGGATATTATCCCCTTATCCGATGTGTCATTGGCAAATACGCTCTTCTATAGAGTGGATTCCCTTTTCATTTTGTTGATGGTTTCTTTTGCTGTGCCAAAGCTTTTTAGTTTGATGTAGTCCCATTCGTTTATTTATTTTTTTATTTCTCTTCCCCTAGGAGACATATCAGCAAAAATATTGCTATGAGAGATGTCTGAGATATTACTGCCTGTGTTTTTGTCTAGGATTTTTATGGTGTGGTGACTTACATTTAAGTCTTTTATCCATTTTGAGTTTATCTTTGTGTATGGTGTAAGTTGTTGGCCTAGTTTCATTTTTGGCATGTACCTGTCCAGTTTTCCCAACACCATTTATTGAAGAGACTCTCTTTACTTCACTCTATGTTCTTGACTCCCTTGTCCAATAGTAATTAAACATAAAGACATGGACTAATTTCTGGATTCTCTGTTCTTTTTCATTGATCTGTATGCCTTTTCTTATGCCAGTACCAGGCTGTTCTGATTACAGTGTACTTTTAGTGTAGCTTGATAGCAGGTATTGTGATACCTCCAACTTTGTTCTTTTTAATTAAGATTGTTGAAGCTACTAGGGGACTTTTTTGAGTCAATGTAAATTTTTGGAATACTTGTTCTGAATATATGAAATATGTCATTGCTGTTTCAATAGGAGTTGCATTGAATTTGTAGCTTGCTTTGGCTAGTATGAACACGATATATGCTTCAAGGAGGGTAAAATCTTGAACTAGGTATTGGGTGTATAGATAAACATTTTTTCTTCTTTTACATTTAAAATTTTTCTTAACATAAAAATGAAAGTAAAGGTAGCAGACAAGAGGACAGAGCAATGGAGGCAGGTGCTGTTAAACAGAATTACAGAGTTCTGTGGTAAGGTAGAGCTTGTTAGAGTGGGCTGCTTTCTTGAGCCCCTAGTGGAGATGTCAAACAAGTACTTGTATCTACAAATCTGGACTTCAGGAAGGCAGTCTTGGCTAGAGAGATATGTTGGGGAGTAAGAAACATGTTAGAGGCATTTAAATCCACGGGTTTGGATAACCCTTGGAGTGAGTTTACATCTAAGAGAGAAGAGGGCAAGGAACTGCACTCAGAATCCCAGAATATAGATCCTGAGGAAATGAGAAGTTCCAGCATGGGGATTCCAGCATGTCAGATATCCTTGGAAACCAATAAAATGGTGTCCCATAGGCCAAATGATTAAAGTGTTCCCACGTGCTAGTGAGCTGTCAGCTTGCATTCATTGCCACTAAGGAGTCAGGTGAGATAAGGCCTGGATGATGACCATTGAGTTTTGCATTGTGGAAGTCATATAACAAGAATCTGTGTACTCACTGACTGGTGTGAGCAAATCTTTACATTTTGCTATAGTAGTTTCAAATCTTTATGATATGTCTCCTAGGGGAAGAGAAATAAAAAAATAAATAAACGAATGGGACTACACCAAACTAAAAAGCTTTGGCACAGCAAAAAAACCATCAACAAAATGAGCGTCTTTATCCCTGATGCCATTGCCCCTCAGAGCTATCATTGCGCTTGCCTACACTATACTTCAGTGACTGAATGCTCTCTCCTCTTCCTGATAGCATCTATTCATGTCACGCTCCTGCTGGGGTTAGGAGTCTGATGGCATCACTCCTCAGATGGAATAGATGAGAACTGTGCCACGTGGCTTGTGGATCTCTTCCCAGGCACCCCTGATGCCTTTCTCAGACTCCTCTATAGTAACTCCAGCCCTTCTAAGCAAACTTGCATGTTCTCTGGGCCCTGTGCACCTGATACCTTTTACAGTTCCATGGGTGCCCTGAGTGCCTTTGCCTTTTCCATTGTCACTGCTTACAACGTGACTCTTGCCTGCGTACCTCACTCTTACTCTCCACCTGTCCAGATGACTCCTACTCCACTATATGACTCTTAACAGCAGTTTGTTTTAATGTTTTCTAACCATCCTGAGAAGAACAAATCATTACCTCATCTTGGTTCCTATCCAGGGGTGCCCCACCTGTGGCGCTACACAAAATCCTAACTTTACTTAAAACATTATGATTACATGTTACAATGTATTTAATGTATGGCCCAAGACAACTCTCCTTCCAGTATGGCACAGAGACACCAAAAGTTTGGACACCTTTCTGTGTGTTTTATGTTGTCCTTTATTTACTTTAGTACTGATCAGAAACAAGACAGGTGAAAAAGGAATGTAATGGGCTCCTATGATATCCCTAGTGTGTGGCTCTCATAGCACCGCTTCTTTGAATTGAACATAGGTATTACTTGCCTCTTCTCCCCCATCCCACAAACCACACTGCCATGTCTCTGAGGGAGGGAAGCTCTCTTTAATTTTGTACTCAAGTATTCAACAGTATAGGCCCAGTGTAGACCCTAGAGTTAGATGGCATCATTTCAAATCAGGGTTCATTACTTGAAAAACTAATTTCTCTAAGCCTCAGTTTTCTCACCTGTAAAATGGAAATGATAGCAGTAGCTACTCATTGGGTTATTGAGGGTATTCTATGAGGAAATGCTTGTACAGCACTTAGAACAGTGCCTAGCAGAGTGAGAACTCCTTAAGTGTGAGCTACAGCTGTAATAATTAGATAATAGAAGATAGGCAGAGGTGAATGGATGGATGACATATCTTTGTAATCCTGGTGCCTGTTCCCATTCTTGGCTAATCATAGCTGTTAGTTAGTGTTGGTTGAATTGAAATCTAGTGAAATGCTTCCTTTAATATATACCTAATTGCAGCAATGAGAAAGGAATGATTTTGTATCTCGCTGGATGTCAGACACTGTATTTTTGCAAAGTAGTTCAGTAAATTTGGTAGATGATGTCTTCTCTCCCTACCTTCTGATAGTTAGCCTGACCTCTCTTCCTTATGAATTTTCATTAACTGTCTTTACAGAAAAACTAATATTAAGTTGGTATTATATACCCTTTGTCAAGAACATAAGACTAAAAAGAAAAAAAGGTAAAACAATTATGACTGAGTCATTTGCTTTTCTGACTCTGAATGAATCTGCAGACCAGTTTTCACTTGCTTCTTTATATCTAAATATAGTGATATTTTCTATTCCTTGGAAATTTGCTTTTTCATTTAGGCAAACCTGTTTGCTTAAGTATTCATCTGGGGGAAAATAACCAGGTATAGCTTGATATTTTTAATCTAAGATAAAATAATTATAAAGATTTCCTTTCAAAAGCATGAAAAAGTAAACATGACTCCTATCTAAAGTTTCTAACTTACAGGAAGTAAAATGTGTTTCACTTTTTTGTGTGTAGGCACCTCGTTCAGAAGCTCTCACCATTCTAGGCTCTCTTGTCTGCTTTCCAAATACCTACCAGGAGATCCCTTTGCTGCAGTCAGTGCCAGAAGTTAGTGAAGTCTCTACAGGAACTGAAGATGTCAAGGTACATAATGCATTTGATTAAATCTCAAGTTTAGCATTTTATAATTCTAGCTCTATGGTTATCTCTTCCATTATTACATAGTAACCTCATTATGCCTGAAAGTTTTGCTATATTTAAATGTTTTAATTGTTTTGTTTTGTTTTGTTTTTAGAAGGCTGTTTTAGGGGAATTAAATGTATGAGATTCAGAGCATACTCCAGGTATAACTGATAGGTTCTTCAGGTGTTTTCTATTAGATCTGTTTATGAGGCCTATGGTCATAATAATGTAATAAACCATCCTTTATAATCATTTTCTTAGTTTAATTATGCTGCATTAGTGCATCAAATGAATTTAAAAGAAATAATTGAAATAAGCTAAATATTCCTTTTCATTGTGGCCTGATTAAATTATACAAAAAAATTGAAATTCCAGATTATTCCTTGGATAATAAAAGTAAGCATTTGTTCTCTCCTCCCCTGACTTTGGGAAAAAAAGAAAGTGCTTTCCTAATCCCAAAATTGATCAACTAATCTGTCTGTAGTACATAATTACAATCAATAGTTCAGTATACAGTATATAATCCAATTAAAGACAGTTCCCTACAAAGGAGTGCCCGTATGACTATCAGCTGATTTCTCCAAAGAAACCTTGCAGGCAAGAAGGGGCTGAAAAGAAGTATTCAGTCATGAAAGGCAAGGACCTGCATCTAAGATTACTCTCTTCAGCAAAGTTATAATTTAGAATGGAAGGGCAGATAAAGTGCTTCTCATGCAAGGTCAAGTTAAAGGAGTTCATCATCAGCAAGCCCTTATTATATGAAATGTTAAAGGGACTTATGTAAGAAAAAGAAGATGATCAAAACTATAAACAGTAAAATGACAACAAATTCACAACTTTCAACAACTGAACCTAAAAAAATCCACAACAAACTAAGCAAACAGCTAGAACAGGAACAGAATCACAGAAATGGAGATCACATGGAGGATTATCAGCAGGGAGGGAGAGGGGGAAGAATGAGGGACAAGTACAGGGAATAAAAAGCATAAATGGTAGGTACAAAATAGACAGGGGAAGATTAAGAATAGTATAGGAAATGGAGAAGCCAAAGAACTTATATGTATGACCCATAGACATGTACTGGGGTGTGCGGGATAGGATTGTGGGAGGAGGTTGCAGGACAGAGAGGAATAAAGAGGAGAAAAAATGGGACAACTGTAATAGCATAATTAATAAAATACACTTAAAAATAAAGTAAAAGTAAACCAAGATTTTCCTATCTAGAAGTCTCATTTCTTTGCTAGGTTTTTATTGTATACTCAGAAACTCTGCTCTGTAGGCTAGCATGATTGCCCAGAGGGCTATCCCCAAGCCGCCTTGTTTCCTTCCCCCAGGTTCTCCCTAATGGGAGCCTCTCCAGAGGTCCCTGGTCCTTCAGTAGCTCCCGACTGCCTGGAACACAGTCAGAACATGTGGGAAACCAACAACTAAAGTTCTTATTTTACTTAATTTCTTTTTTTTTAGCATTACCTCATAAATATTTTACTGAAGAATGCTACAGAGGAACCAAGTGAATGTGCAAGGTAAATTTTGAATAAAAGTAAGCCATTTCACAATTTTAAGATACACATTTATGTGTAAAACACAATGTTAATAAATACTTATTACTTTGCATTACCCTTATACACACTAAAAAGTATAACATGTATTGTATCAGGAAATTGCTTTACTTAATTTTTTCATCAGAAATTTATTCCAATTTCCACTATGATTCCTTCATTGAGTCACGATTTATTTAGAGACATATTTTTGAATTTCCAAAGATATGGTTATTTCTATTTATCTTTTTGCTACTGGTTGCATCATTGGTCAGAAACACTGTTTGCCTCCACATTCAGCCCTTCAACAAGTTGTCAGTACTTTTTTTTCAAACCCCTTTTCTTTAGTGTAGAAAGTAATGTGTATGAGACCGTCTTTCTTAGTTGCATATAAAAGGAATCAGATTATGAAATTAAGGGCTTGTAAGTGTAAATAAGCAAGCAGACTGACATATGATCAAGATTTCAAATAAATTGAGACAATTAAGAGAATATAGATAATGATGAGTGATAATTTAGAAAAATAAGTTTTGTTTTATCAATTGGAGTGGTATGAGATGGCATAGTAGCAAAGAGGAGACCTTGTTGGAAGATAGCATGAGAGTGAAGGTAGTATTACCATTAGGTAAAAAAGAGTCTTGATACATAAAACTCATTTGGGATCACAAAGGACATACTTGGGATGCAGAGACTCTTAATTGGCAGGAATGGCTAGGCATGAGGAATAATTAATAGTATTGGAATTGGAAGATGCTAAATGGGAATGTTAAATGATAAATTTCAAAGAAAGAAAATAGCATGAAAGAGCTCTTATAAGCTCATATGGCTTAAAACTGAAAGCAAGTGAGAGTAGTTTAGATTATAAAACCATTTTATGGGTCACAAATGTTCTCCATAGTGCAAACTTAGTAATTAACAGAGTAATGCATGTATTACTAGAAATGAGAGATCTTTGCTTTTAACAAATTATATCTAACAAGTAGGTTAATGGGTTGTAAAAAAAAATATGTATTTTCATATACACACTCATTTACATACACACATGCACACAAAGAAAGTGAGGCTCTTAAAAAGGTAAAAATGGAATTTTGGATATAATTTCAAGTTGTGTAGATTTTAGTGGGTTAAACAGAGTCTGGGTTAAGCTGCAGGAAAATAAAGAGACTTTTTGAAAAGGTATAGAATACCATAGGAATGTAGAGTATATGCAATCTAAGAATGCACAGTAGTTCTATATGAGAGTAAGCATAGGAATTAGGTAAGAGAAGAGACAGGAACATCAAGGGTTAGAATCATGTGGAACTCCTGAATACTGCTGGTGTTGGAGAATCAAAAAAAGACCGGGCACAACTTGTAAACTGAGTTGAACTGCTTTACTGAATGAATTTTGGTAGAAAGCGACACAGTCTTCAGAGGATTTTAGTATGTCTGTTCTGATGAACTCAGTCTATCCTTATTTAAAGAGGAGAGAATCCAGTGAAACATGGTAGTTTAAAAGACTCAATGATTTTAATTGTGGAATACATTGAATACAAAGGAATGTTCAATGTGGAGAGCAGAGCAGTATGTCCAGTTTGACCAGCTCTCAATGTGACCTCTTATTACAAAGAACAACAGATACATTGTACAGCTAAGGTCTGTTTCCAAACAGTGGTTGGAATCCCCTTTTCTGTTCTGAAAGTAAGTAGTTTTAAGAGCAAATATTTTAAATGTACATATAGGCTCTCAGAAAAAAAAAACTAACAAGAATATGATTTTTTGATTATTGCAAAAGATAATGGAGTGTATCAATTCCAAGAGAGTTACCATTTAAAATTGATTTATAATTGAGAAGGTAACTTGTAAAGGACTGTACAACTCAAAAACTATTTTGTCTGAACATATTGTTTAAAAGAAATAACAGTGAAACTTATTTTGAAAGTTGTATTCAAATATCCTTCACAACAAAATACAGGATTTGTCTTCCATTTGTGGCTGGTGTTATATATTTTATTGTAAGGAAAACAATTTCAAATTCAACTTCTAAATTTTTCTAAGATTCACATTTTTCTTCTTCAAAACTATCTTGAAGCAGTAAAATGTAATAGAAAATTAGTTTTAGCAAAAGTAAGTACTATGTGGGCTGTTACATTAACAGAAAATCTACCATTTATTTAATTAAATATCGAATTACTAACCATTATCAATATTTCTATTTGTCCTGAAACTGGTCTTTTGAGGTTACCTTATCTTTGTTTCTCAAGAAGATATTCTGTTGGTGTAACTATAATTTTTGCTACTTTAAAAAAATATTTTTATAATTTGAAAATACCAAGAAAATTTGGTACAGGAATTAAAACATTAAATTTCATGAGACTCTTTCTCCTTTTTTTTTTTTTTTTCCCAAAAGATGCATTGCTATTTGCTCCCTTGGAGTCTGGATATGCGAAGAGCTTGCACAGTGTACAAGGCATCCTCTGCTAAAAGAGGCCATCAATGTGATAGGTGTCACTTTGAAGGTATTACCAACTCATGATGTACATTGAACATTAAGCTATATTCTAGATTTTCAACTAGTTTTTGTTTGAATTAGCCCCATTTTTATTTTTCCCTATATTATTGAGAGGTTTTTTAATTCAAAATTTCTTTTTCTGAGAGCCATATTGAATGTTCTGTGAGGTTCTCAGGTGAGACTCCCTTGGCTGCTTCCCACTGATGTCTGCAACCCAGTCATCCATAGGCTGAGTGTTCCTATACCAAGCTCAGTGGCTAAATTGAGTTCCTCTGGTGGCGGGACAGCTCCAGTGGCAAGCAGGACACTGTCACCAGCCTGTGGGAGGGACAAGAAAGTGAGAGTTTGTGCTCTGGTCTCTTAGGACTAAGAGAAATCTGATAGCCCTGGTTAGTGACCCTGAGTGTTCATGGTCCAACTGGGCTTTGGGTACTCTCAGGACATCTTTCTTCCTTTGCTTTGGTAATGAAAAGAACAACTGCCATTTACTGAGCATTCACACTGGGCCAGCTTCATGATAAAATTTCTAAATTCTTTTGTTAACCTTCATGACAGCTCTTTGAGGTAGATGTTACAATCCCTGTGTCATGCCAGAGAAAAGCAAGGCCCAGACAAATCAGCTCATGATCCCATGGCCATGCAGGCATAAATGATGAAGGCAATAGTGATTACTGATCTGTGTGACATGAAAGACAAAACTCAACTTTTATTTGTCCTGTCAGGCCCCTTCTTAAACTACAGATCAAATCCTCCTGGGCCTTTCCTGACTCCGCTTAGAAATGGTGATAATTCACATTGCTGATAAATACACTTCTGGAACCAGTGAGTCCCCAACCCCTGCTGAGGACATACAGAAGTTCTCAGTTGCGAACTCATTGTCTCATTTTACAATGGAGGAACTGAGGTGCAGGAGAGTTAAAGAACTTGTTCCAGACTGTAGAGCCTGGCCAAGTCAAAGTTCAAATCCTGAACTGTTCATGTATCACCAACATTCAGGCTCTTGCCTGCTCTTGTCTCTGGTCTGCTACAATAATAACAGCCATTACAGCTGATGCTGTGACAGTCATCACCAGGCCATTAACAAGCCCCTGTGCTACCCTTTGTGTTTTAGCCCATGGGGTAATGCCAGTGGTGTTCCCCTGCCTATGGCTCAGCATCTAGCCCTCTGATCTAGCCGCTGTCTTCCTTGGCAGCCTGATTTCATAGCAGTTCTCCTCACCCACCCCTCTTCCTAACCAAACTCAATGCCTCCTGCTTCCTAAATGTACCCTCTGACCACCTTCCTCTGCCACCCTGTCCTCTTCCTTCCTTCCTCATCAACACTTGGCATTGCTGGTTACATATATCATGAGAGTTGGAAAAATGCTTGCTGCTGATCCATGTGGAATGGAATGGAAAATTGATCAAATCAAGATATCACTTAGGAGTGCTCCTGCTGGCCCCTTACTTTTGTCATTGTATTTAATCCTTAGAACTACCCTATGAGGGGAAGGATTTATTGTCAAGTCTACTTCACAGATAAGGAAAATGAGCTTATTGGGAATGATAGAGCTTGCAAGGGTAAAACCCAAGACATTCTGGCCCCATGTCCGGGCTTTCTTACAACTGTGGTATAGAGGACACTTCCCCGTCTCCCAAAGCCATGGAGAAATATTCACATTAAAGTAAAGAAAGTTGGATGTCAATTGTATATCCATTGGATTGGCCAAAAAGTCCATTTAGCTTTTTCCATAAAATAAAAGACACATTTTTACCAAATCAATAGTTCAGTAACTTGATTTGGATAGTTTCAGTATGTTGGCCTTCTGCCCCTATTGGCTTCTAGTGGGCGGAGGCCAGGAGTGCTGCTAAACATCTTCCAATGTATAAGACAGCCCCAACCACAGCAAAGAATTATTTGTTGAAAATGTCAGTAGTACCAAGAAACTTCGCAAACCACTTTTGACACATTTGATCAGTCACAGCACCTTCTCTATACACTGTACAAATCTTTTCTTGCATTTCAGTTGTGTTTTTACCTTTCTTGAAATAATGGAACATAACACACCGAAATGTTAAGTATCTTCTTTCATCTTTGGTATTAAAATGGCTGCACAGAAATTTACCAGTTTTGATAAGTTTTTTTAAATGCACACTGATGTGATAGCTGTCAGAATACAATCTAACAAAATTGTTTCAAATGAAGTTAAAGAAAACTAAGCACTACTAGAGCCATCATACACAAAAAATTAAATGAACTTTTTGGCTAACCCAATATGTAGATTCCAATTCATTTTTTAATCTCTTATCTTTCCAAGTCTAAGATCTGTTTTTCAAATTTTAATTTTTCTTAAATCTATAAATGTATATTTAAGGTAATATGGCTCTCCCACCTTTATCCCTTTCCTGGAAAAGCTGTTAATAATTTGATAGTATCTTAGAATGAAGGAGACATACAAATATACATATGTATATATGTAGCCTGCTACCTTATTCTTCTGTGTAGTGTAGAAGAGAGATAGAAATTGATAACAAGAGAGGGATTTGAAAACTTATTCTTTTCTCTGTACTTATACAGATTTTCAAAAATTTATCTAATTTTTCTGTAATTATGAGGAAAAACATAAAGCACCAGAAAAAAAAGTACCTGCCATGTATTGAACCCTTACTCTGTCATGGGTGTTTCAGTACAGTGCATGGACTGCCTCACTGAATCCCCCACCCCTGTACATTCTGTTGCTCTATCCATTTTAGAAATAAAAGAGGTGAAAAAGGAAAACCAAGGAACCACTTTTGCTCCAGCTTGAATGAAATAGAGTTTAAAAATATATATATAAGATCAATGAAACGAAGAGTGGGTTCTTTGAAAAGATATATAAGATTAACAAATCTTTAATCAGACTCATCAAGAAAGAAGAGGACCCAAATAAATGAAATCAGAAATGAAAGAGAAGTAACAACTGACACCAAGAAATACAGAAGATTGTAAGAAAATATTACCAACAACCATATGCCAACAAACTGAACCATCTGAATAATATGAATAAATTCCTAGAAACATACTGTCTTCCAAAACTCAACTGGGAAGAATCAGAAAATCTGAATAGACTGAACACAACTAATGAAATCGAAGCAGTAATCAAAAAATTCCAGTAATCAAAAGTCCTAGACAAGATGGCTTCACAGGTATATTTTACCAAACATTCAAAGGAAAACTAACACCTATCCTTCTCAAACTGTTCCAAACACTGTTCCTCCTCAATAGGAGGGAAGACTCCTAAGGTTATTTTATGAGGTCTGCATTATCCTGATTCCAAAACCAGATAAAGACACTACAAAGAAAGAAAATTATAGGTCAATGTCCCTCAGGAGCATAAGTGCAAAAATACTCAACAAAATATTATAAACCGGGTCTAGCAATACATTAAAAAATATCATACACCAACACCAAGTCAGGTTCATTCTGAGGATGCAAGCTTGGTACAATATCTGCAACACCATATAAAATGTGAAACACCACATAAACAAATTGACAGATAAAACTCACATTATTATCAATAAATGTAGAAAAGGCATTTGATAACATCCAGCACCCAATTATGATTAAAAACTCTTGCAAAGTGGGAATAGAGGGAACATACCTCAATGCAATGAAGGCCACATATGACAGACCCACAGCCAAAATCATACAAAAAATGTTTTAAGTTTGGGAATAAGACAGGGATGTCTGCTTTCACCACTCTTATTCAACCTAGTACTGGAAGTCCTAATCATAACAATCAGACAAGAAGAAGGAATAAAGGCATCTAAATAGGATTAAAGAAATTAAAACTTTCACTTTGCAGAACACATGAAACTGTATATAGAAAACCCTAAAGATTCCACTGAAAAACTATCTGAACTGATAAATGAATTCAGTAAAGTACCAGGATATAAAGTAAATATCCAGAAATGTGGTTGCAATTTTATACACCCACAGTGAACTATATCAGAAAGAGAAACTACAGTTGCATCAAAAAATAAAATATCAAGCCCTGGCTGGCATAGCTCAGTGGATTGAGCACGGGCTGGGAACCAAAGTGTCCCAGGTTTGATTCCCAGCCAGGTTACATGCCTGGGTTGCAGGCCATAACCCCCAGCAACCGCACATTGATGTTTCTCTCTGTCTCTATTTCTATCTCCCTCCCTTCCCTCTCTAAAAATAAGTAAATAAAATCTTTAAAAAAAATAAAAATAAAAAATAAATAAAATAAAATAAAATATCTAGGAATAAACTTAACCAAGTATGTAAAAGACCTGTACTTGGAAAATTATAAGATACTGAAGAAAAATTGAAGAAGATACAAATAAGTGGAAACAAATACTGTGTTTATGGATAGGAACAATTAACATTAAGCTGATTGGAGCCAAGATGGAGATATAGGTAGAAACACTTCACTTCCTCACACTACCACAAGAAGGAAAACAAAGAACAACCAGAACTGCCAGAAAAATATTTGCATAGAAGCCCAATAACCAAGGAGTTGAAAAAACACTCAACCAGACAGTAGGAGGGGCAAGAGAGAATTCAGCTGATGGCCTGCACTGATGATCTCACATTTGCGCGCAGACAAGCCTGGGAGAAAGCAGGGGGGTCAAGACGGACCGCTAATGCTGGGTTTCAGCACAGGAAACTAAAGACTCAAAACCACAGGCTGTTGAAAAGATCTGTGGGAATTGTGGCAGTGGGAGAAACACCCAGCATCACAGGACAGTACATTGGAGACACTCATTAAGGTCCAAAAACACACACAAACCCACCCACCAGCAAATCAGCACCTAAAGGACACATACCATTTGTGGAAAGCAAGGGAAAGTGTGATGAGAATAGAGCAAACAGCATTGTTTCTCCTCTGACCCCACCCTCACAGATCGCACCACAACGGAGCAAAGAGGGTTACCCTGCCCTGAGGAATACCTAAGGCTCCACCCCTTACACATAACAGGTGCACTGAGACAAAGAAATATGGCCCAAATGAAAGAAAAGAT